CAGCCGTATTAGAATCTCGCGATGTGGATATACCGGAGAGGACGGATTTGAAATCTCGATACCTGCGAATAACGCGATTAATCTAGTCGAAAGGATCTTAGAGATTCCTGATGTGAAACTAGCCGGTTTAGGCGCCAGAGATAGCCTAAGGTAAATTAACAGAAAACAGATATAACATGTTTTAAAACAATACTCTTTGAACGTGCAATCAATAATATCAAAAGTAAACAGCAAGTAATAATATAATAATAATAATATAATATTAACGTTAATAATATAATATTAACGTAAGTCTGTAAGGGCCGACTGAGCAGAATTACTATTATAGATAGATTTTCATTACTTTTGTCACAGTTAAGTATAGGAAAGCAGAAGTATATCACGAAGAGATGAGGTTAAGAACGATATACAGTCTTGCTGTATTTGACTAGTGCCGATTGAGTTAATCGTCGATTAAGTTAATCGGCGTAGGTAACAGTCGTCCTCAATCCCAGTTAATTAATATTACTTATTAATTTTGCGATTTGTAAATTTAGAAATTTTTTTATTTGCTTTGAACGTTGATTCTGCAAAGAAATTTGTTTATTTATTTCTCTTAATCGTATGTAAGTGCGCGTGCGTACCAAACAAAGTAAAACTTTCCGCGGAATAAGTTGCATGTTCATCTTTTTCATTGCTTGTTCTGTTTTATCTGCACTTTTTGAAAAATTCCAGGAACTGTACTGATAGTTGAAAATTTATGAAAAGCTTCAAATTCTTTATTCATGACTTCTGCAATTTTCAATAATTTATCAGAAGGAGTTATTAATCGCCCTTTCGAAATTTTGTCAATCCAATCATCTTTAGAAGTAACAAACATTTCAGTATGTGTTCCCAAATCGTCATAAATATGATTGAACCTGTGAGCAACGTAATCGGCGATATATTTAAGCCCTTCTTGCTGTATAACATCGATGACATCTAATTCTTCAAGTTCTTTTAAGAGATTTAGTTCTTCGGAAGAGGGAATATAGGTAGAGGTGCAAGCGGATGTCGAATAGTCTGTAAAGTAAAATGAAATATAGCAGACATTAAATTGAAATTATTGATAACTTTTTCTGACAGGTTTTTATTAAAATATTTATTTTGATGCACTAGAGACAGTACATATTTCAAGTAAGTAATGGAATGTATTCTTACATTCTAATAGCGAATTCGATTGGACACACTCAGTGCACACACTAGTGTGTTATAAATCAGACAACTCCTTGAAACATTTATGGCGAATTCGATTGGAAGCATTACTGCGCACTGGTGCATATTAAAGCCGTTGTACACTGATTTAATTTGAATATAAAAATGAAATGCAAATATTTCGAATCATGAAATACATATTTTACCTAATAGTACAATGAAATGTATTGAGTATTTCACGATCTAATCGATTTCTGTGTTTATTTATAAACATATCTTTACATTATTTTGTTTATAATGGCTTTAATGTGCACCAGTGCGCATTGAGTGCGTCCAATCGAATTCACTATTAGATACGTTAAGCATACGTACACTCTGATGTTTACCAAGGAAAACAGTAGAGTAAGCAGAAAACAATTTTATATTCTGAATCTGTACATACTATAACATGCATTAAAATAATGTGAAGAGTCTTCCCTTTTATATTATTTCTCTCATCGACAGGATATTTATAATAATATATTTTATATTAAGTCATTATTAAGTATATATAGATCGTATAATTAAACTCAGTTGGATAAATCTATGTAGAATAAATCTATTAAGTCTATTAAGTTACTATTAAATCACTATTAAAACCCATGACTTTTGAATGAATCACTGCAGAATACAAATACAAGGCACAATTGAAACTGGCAACGCTTTCCAAAAAACGATGCAACACTCGACGCAATCTTGCGATTCTACGCATATCACATCTCGAGGGCTGCCATATGACACTACTTCTTTAGA